TTATTTATTATTTATTATTTATTATTTATTATTTATTATTTATTATTTATTATTTATTATTTTTTTATTATTTTTTTATTATTTATTATTTATTATTTAATTATTATTTTTTATTTATTTTTTATTTTCTATTATTGGTATTATTAGTAATAAGTATTAGCTAACTTTATAGAGTATCTCAATGTCTGCTATGCATCACATTCCAGTGCAGCAGGCTTCATCTATCCAAACTGACGGCCGATTCGTTTTTATTTCATTTTTAAATCGAATTCAATGAATTCAATTGCAATTCCTTTTTGCATACGCAAGTTTGTGGCTGCAAAAATGCGCGCCCGGCATCGCCGCTCTGGGTGTTTGGTGAAGCATGTGTTAATGGGGCCACCCATACGTGGCGCCCTTTCGACCGCATTCGTATACACTCCAGCAACACCCCAGATCGACCGACATACACACCCAAACACCCACACACACACACGCACACATACAGAAACAGCCAGCCAGACACCCCCAAACACTCAGATTGCATATCAATTACAGCTCTTGACAGTTCGGGATTGATTTTTGTTTCGGTTTGCATTTAAAGCGCTCGGTCTTCATTTCCGGCTCAAATTTAATTTTTCATTTCCATTACTTTTAAAGCAATTCGGTGAGTTGCTCTTTGCTGGGCAGCCAATCAGTGCTGTTATTTTTATATACGAGAAGCATTTACATAGTCTTTCAGTTAGTCTTGGGATTTATGTTGAGGAAAAATAGAGAAATATTCTTTGTTGCATATAAAAATAATGCTGTAAAGTAGGGAAGATTAAAAAAGAAAAGAGTTTCCACTGGCATTCCAAAGGATCCTTCGAACGTATTGGCATATTAATCAGAATAAGGATAGACTTCCATATCTCTCTTATTGGAAACGGTTTAATACAGACCAAATCTCATACTGCAGAAGAGAACTCCTTAAGTAGAATTCCTTCTGTAACAATGTAACTATGCTTCGAAAGCTTTGGCCTTATACCGGACTCTATAATTGTCTTGGATATCTCTTTGATGATAATTATGAAAAACTAGCAAGTTCAGATTGGTAGAGAGAAAGACTTATCAAGAATCCTCTGCTCTCTGAAACTCTCTCTCTGAAGAAAAGGATTCGGTAAGTCAGATACCTCATCCAATTTAGCTAAGTACCAATAACAAAAAAAAAATCATATTTCGAAAGGTTTACAGATATATATTACTTAAATTGTATATCTCTAAAAAAATACAAAGCCGCATTTAGCTAACATTTCATATACATATACATATGTACGAACATACATACATCATGACATCATTTCGTTGCGTAGACATTGTGATACCGTTACCTTAACTACTTTTCACAGTTGCAGGTGTTGCAGGAGTGGCAGATAAACAAGGTGCTGCTGCTACAACTGCTCAGCTTAAGTCGGATTACCGACAGCTCCAACACACACACAGATAAAGAGAGAGAGAGAGTGTGTTCTTGTTGAGTTGAGCGAGCTGTGTGCAGTCCAGTAATCCTTGTGCGGCAATCTACCTGATATGCTCTGTATATACAACCTTTTTGCTGCGGTCACTAGCTCTTAATGCTCAGTAGCCAAGAGAGAGAGAGAGAGAGAGAGAGAGAGAGAGAGAGAGAGCTCTTGGCGCTGCCATCGAAACCATTGCATGGAGTTTGCTGTGCCCGGGGCAGATGAGTCGCTGTCGCTGTCGCTGCCTCCTGTTCAATATTGATGGCATACATAAGTAGGCGCCAGCTGAGTGTAAGCAATGTCGGACGAAAGAAAATACAGACCTTATTTGCTTTATAAATGAAAAATGAAGTATGAAGCACCAGCAGCAGGAGCAGCAGCGGCTTTGGTGTCAACCCAACAGGCAGCTAGAACATCAGCTAGGTAGTAAAAGGACTATTAGGCGATAATTTATTTGTAATCTGCGACGTGAATGCAACTCAGCGGGTTGCATCAGTGTGCGGCAATAAAAGCGAAGACCAACAGCAGCAGCAGTAGCAGGAGTAGCAGGAGCAGCAGCCGCATCAGCGATTGCAGTCAAACAGGAAACAGGACGCATGCAGCTGAAAGGAATCGTCGCGTCCCTTGGGGTCATAAAAACGACTATCGAAGCAAATGCCGGCAGTGGGCGGTGCAAATATTTAAAGACGGTGGCGTTCGCTTGCCGTCGTCTTTCAGATGCAGTCGGGCAGCCCCGATGGCCATTGTGCAGAGAGCTGAGGTTTGGGGCGGCAGCTTAAAGGGTTTAAGCCAGGGAATATGGCCAGAAAATAGTTTTCGAATGCGGCTTACATGGCCAGCAACAACAATTGGCAATTACAATTGCTTTAATGCGCTGCTGGCTGAAGGGTTTTGCTAGTCGCTCCAAAAAACCGCAAGGATTAAGTAATTTCTGCCAGACATGCAGCAGCCACAATCAACCAAATGAACACAAAAACTTTGCCCAAGGCAGACAGACAGACAGAAAGACAGACAGACAGAGGGATCCAAAGATGGGGCTGGCACTCTAATGCACTCGTGTGTGCAATAAATTGGCATATCCTTACCACACACACACACACACACACACACACACACACACACACATGCTCACAACTAAAGTGAGCAAGAGAGATGGGTATTTCTCTAGATTGAAGAGTTGCACACACACACACATACATGCATACTCTCACAGACAGAGACAGACAATGCCAATGAGTTTTGCGTGTGCCGATGCGAGTGTATTATGCACAGGATGCGCATAAGAATGAAAATCCTTTTGCACTTAATGGCAACACCCAAGCTAAAGTGTATAGAGAGCGACAAGGAATGCCGACTACTAAATACCCTGTAAGATATGTTAGAGAAAGTTGATTGAAAAATATGCTTAGCAAAGTTTGCAAGAGAATGAGCGCTTGAGCGATGTATAATATGAGAATGATAAATGAATAAAAATTGAAGCACAACTAAAAATTTCGCATTTTGTTAACTAGCTATAAAAAAAAATATTCATATTTAAAAAATATATACATATTTTTTAATTTTTACAAACCAACAGTATATAAATAAGGTTGCTTTTCTGTAGAATTTTACCTCAAGTACCTTTCTAGAAAGGTTAGCCTAGGCTAACAAGAGCAATCTCTGCTTTGTAGGTACTTTCGATGCTTTTTAAGCTATAATCATTTGAGAATCTGTGTAAGGCTTTACAAAATGGGATAAACAATGTAAGTCTAGTAGGTCTGTCTCACCCTGGAGCCATCAACACATTGATTTTGCAAGAACATCAGCAAACTGCTGAGATCAACTGAAGTTTGGCAGATATTGGGCTATATATAAAGCATTAGCAAAATGTTCTTGGAAGTGAGTTTAAATATCCAGGAAGCATGTGTGAGAGCTGTTAAGAATAAACACTGAAGACAGTCTATAAAATTTGACATAATATCTAATTATATAATATTTTGCATACTAAACCTTGTATTTACTTTAGGAGCTAAAATGAGAAGAAAAATGTTATAAAAAACTAGTTTGACATGAGAGTATGACTAGGATGAATATGAGCTAAAAGCATAAATTTTGGACGTGTATGTGGTTTATGTTATGCGAATGACATTATCTGGTGAATGTTCAAGTTGAACTCTCTGTAGTTGGACATAAATTATGAGAACCATAAAAGAATGAAATTTATAATTTGATGTGAATAAATATATATAAAATGGGTTCATAAAATACAAACTTTGCTAATAAAGCTATTAACCCTTAAACTGCTTATAATTTCCTTGTAGATTTTTTCAAAATAATATTTTACTTATATTATCTGCTAGTAAAAAATTTATTTCATTTGAATATAGCAAAAGAAAAGTGCGTAAAGCATAAAAGCAAAGCTCTTTATATTCTGAAATATTTACAAGCCAAGGAGAAGAAAATCGAGAAGACAAGAAAATAAAGTAAACAGTAAAGAAATTCATATATAATAGTTAATATATATATATCAACTAAATACTCTTAGAAAATCAAGCTACCCGCTTATAGGGCATTAAAATACAGTCATAAGAGCAGTAGTTGCAGCAGCAGGAGCAGGAACAGCAGCAGCAGCAGGATCAGTAGTACAGCTAGCAACAGCAGCCAACAACCAACCGTCTCCTCCTGCTCTCTCTCTCTCTCTCTCTATCTAGCTGGCTTCGTTCATGCTTGGGTAATATTATTTTGTGCAAAATTTCTTATTTTGCCGTGGAAACTCATAAAATTTGGTGCTCTTTTGTGTGGACTCAATGAACCCCGTTTTTTGCTGTTTGCCTCGCAGCTTCCGTCCAGCTGTTTAACCACTTTGAAGGCCATTAATTTGCGATGACCAAAGCAATGTCGTCTGCTCCCCCCTTGCCCACCTTTTGCCTGGTCTCGTATCTCAGTTCGACTTTTCGCACCTCTCAGCAGGAGTCTCGAATTTTCTCTTTTTATTGTTTATGACGGTTGGAAATGAGCGAAAAGCTACAATATTTAAATAGTTCGCTTTAAGAGTCGCACGCCTTGGTGGAATCAAACGCATGGCCATTTGATCCATTCGCTCTGTACAAGATAGATTGGCAT